TAGCAATCTTCCATGCCTCCAGCCATTTCCTCTGGTGCCATCGTTCTTCTTTATAAACTACAGAACTACCAAGCCAGTTAATGCTGTGGCCAGTCTTCATGGCGTGCTCTGCTAGAGCTGACTTATCCGGATGGTTCAGTCTTAGAGCTGCTTGGTGTTCTTTTTCTCTGGTTTTAAGTGCTCGTTTCGTCTCACCGATGTACTTTATAACACATTCATGACATGGTATTGAATACACTACCCCTGTCTGACTTCCCTTGTCAATGGGGTCTTTTGGTTTGGAGAGAAACCCGCGTAATTTTTGGCAGGGTTTCATGCATGTTTTGATGTTATAACGTGCCAATATGCGAGAAATTCTCTCACTCAAATTCTGTACATACGGTAACACTACCAACCCTTTATCCTCGTCTGTAGTCTCTGTAGTCTTCTTTTTCAATTGTAAATGCTTATTTATGAACCTCTTTGGGTAGCCGTTCTCTGATAGGCATGTCTTGATATGTTCTTGCTCTTTACTTTTTAAAGCATCGTCAACGAGAAGCGTTTCACTTCTATGGGCTAGAAGAACCTTAGGATGGTGACTGTTAAAGTCTAAATAGCGACCAGTGTGGGTCTTCTTTCCGTAAATAGACAATTTAATGAAGCCATCGTCACGTACTTTGTTGAGGGTATCCAAGAAGGGCAATCCATCATCTGTATACCTTTCGATGGTGAAGTTGATATTATCATCCTGGTCATTAAGGTGTTTATGGAATTCATCGATCTCATCTCTTTTGATAACACACACACTGTCATCGAAGTAACGCTTGTAACACTAAGTAAGTAACACTAAGTTAGCAACAACCACTGAAACTGGGGATCCCATTGCAGTGCCATGAATTTGCCTATATATAATAGTTGCCATTATAGCAAAACTCTGTAGAATTCAAACAGAACGCTAGTAAGGATGCTATTTCACTAGGTGAAAGGTTTGTTCGTGTTTGCAGGTTAGTGTCCTGTTGTAATCGTCGCAAAGCCGCTGACACAGCAATCTCAGTGGGAATCGATGTAAATAATGACACAACATCAAATGATACGAGTTCTTCGTCAGGATCTAATACCAATTGATTAGCAATATCAGTCCACTCTTTACTATTACGTAAGTGATACTCTGTATTGCCAACCAAAGGTGAGAGTATGGATACAAGATGCTTGGACAGCTCGTACGTAGGTGATCCAACGAAGCTAACAATAGGTCGTAATGGAATCCCTACTTTGTGAATTTTGGGAATACCATACAATCGTGGTGTCAAACCATCCGAAGTACAGATTTTCTTATATGCTGGTGCAGGGATTTTGTCTTTGAGACTGGATAGGAGTGACTACACGCGCGCTCCTAGCAACCGATACATTTAACTATAGCACGCGCACATTGTTATGTTGCGTGTTTCTTGTAAAACTGTCACAACCGTTTGCCCTGATGAAGAGCAAGATGCTCAAAAGCTTAGCTTGATTTATAATTAAAAAGCTGATGAATCAAAACTATCATGG